CCTACAAACAGATACATCAACTCCTAAACAGAAAACTAGGAAGCCCCTTCCAGTAGATACAGAACAATTTGTAAATCATTATGGTACCAAAACTGCCTAATTGGTAAATGAAGCTTTGCTGATCAACAGAAAGTCATGATCTGTTTTGGTTTTTCATTGTCTGCCTTTTTTTTGTTGAAACCAGTTGTATAGACAATTTCAAAGCTCATGAAAATTTTCAGCACATTTATCAAACAGAAATTAGAGAACACAATATGCTATTTGGCTTTCAAAGTTTTAACATGCTTCACTTCTATTTGTTCTTGAATGATCTCACACTCAGACTATTTTATCACTATCATCAGTGATCTCCATATCTGTTCTTAAATTAAACTGGGATTCTTTGTCCCATCTACTTCAATAAAATCTTTATAACAGGTAACATCCCACTCATCAGCACACTTAGTACACAAAACTAAACCCCTTGAACAGAAATAAGTCAGCTGTATGCCAGGAAGTGTAAAACTTCATTTGTTCCTTTCATTACTGTTTCACCAGCAGCTCATTTTTCACACTGACTATTCTAATACCTCAGTACAGTTATTTTTACAGCTTGATACAAATTTGCCTAATCTACAATCAAGGTATTCTTGAGCAAGTTGATTAATCTTATTGTATCATTCAGATTTTAGTTAGGTCAAGATTTGATGGAAAAGTTGTCTTTTGCAGTGGTGCTACAGAAGGAAAAAAACTCAGGCCAACTATATTTGCTTCTCCCCTTTCACTCCAAGGCATCTGTCAAATTTGTTATTTCACAATGGTTACTGTTGTTCCCATTTCATTTTTTGCTCCTTTTGTGTGGTTATTTTTTCTTACGTCAGTAGGAAGAAAGTGTAGAAACTGCTGTATTTTTATCTGCAGTATCACAGAGCATCCCAATTGCACGCAGGAAATAAAGAGCACAAACCTTAAGTGGTTTGTGAAGGCTGGTGTTGAAATTCCAGCTTATAATTTTAAACTCTGTGTAAGCAGCCTGATAATGCGGTGTGACAGCATACAGGCAAAACTGCTTTCTATACCACTATCACTTTTGGTATCACATCAAGAACTTTCCAAGCAGTTACCCTCCCACCTCATACTTCCCACGCTAATGAAGCATCACACACTGTGTTATGGGTTTAGTCTCAGCTGAAGACAAAAGCAAGTAGTTCTCCAAGGAAAACAGTGGAAGGTTTAGCTCTCAGGCTTGCAAACAAGACAGAAAATGGAATGTTTATCCAAAATGATTATTCTAACGTATACCAGCTCCACTGACATATTCTGACATTCTAACCAATATTAATAACGTGGTCAAGTCAAACGTAAGACAATAACTAAGATCCAAAGAAGAGTTAACACTCAGATGAATACATCTATCAAGCAGGTATCTCACCTTGCCTGCATCCAGCCTTTAGGCCAAAGTGGTTTCACTTCTGTTTCCATAAAAGTTTTGAGGTAATCTTCAGCAGACTGACTTCTATTTGGCTCTAGCTCATAGCATCCCAGCTTGATCTTGACAAGATTACACAACAGAGACCTGCATAAAGAAACAAAATAAATACATTGAAAGAATCTATCAAGCAGGTATCTCACCTTGCCTGCATCCAGCCTTTAGGCCAAAGTGGTTTCACTTCTGTTTCCATAAAAGTTTTGAGGTAATCTTCAGCAGACTGACTTCTATTTGGCTCTAGCTCATAGCATCCCAGCTTGATCTTGACAAGATTACACAACAGAGACCTGCATAAAGAAACAAAATAAATACATTGAAAGAAACAACTAAAAGCTCAGTGGAAAAGGTTGAGCAATGGAAGCTGCTGTCCATTGCCAGGTGTAGGAAGTGCTCCCTTCCAGTCGTGTTTTTTTGGAAGTTCACACTGCACAAGTTCACTACTACAAACTAGTCTGATCTACCACTGTCACTTCCTCATTTCCAGACTGCATAGCTCTTATTTCCATCCTACTATCATTTTGTAATTTGTTTTACATTTTCTTTGTAGTTTTCTCAAGCTGAAACATCTCTCACTTTGCTCACAGTGACCTCTCTATCATTTGTCTGAATGGAAGCTAAATTCACTCTGCACTGATATTTCAGCATAATGTTCTTTCTGACTGGGATTCTGCTTTTTGCTGTCCTTAAAAACAAAAGTGAACAATTAAGTAACATCAACCTTTCAGAGCCTCTTGAATGAAAACACAACAGATTTAAGTATCTGTTTAAGTATGGCTCCCTTCAGGTCAGTCCAAGCTATACTGGTTGTATATATTTAATGGAGTTTTCTTTCCTGTTGTTTTAACATGCTAAAAAGACTCATTGTGACAAGTCCACCAGCCCCTTTTAATAAAATATATACTTGCACTAAAATTAGCTTAAATCTTCCTTGAGAGATGACTAATTTAGAAGGATCTGCTTTTGCTTAAAAGTCTGGATTATTTAAGTAATAGTAACCTCAGTTTTCGGTAAAATCTGTTCTAGGAAACAGAACTCTAATCCGATTGTTTCAGACAATCATCTGTGCTGTTCTTGAGAGAGCACAGAATTTGTGTTCTGAGGAAACAGAAGGGGTTAGGATTCATGCACTCTGGATGCTGGTTTGCCAAACCAGCCTCACCAGACTTGATGGCCTGTCCTACTGCGGCAGAAATCTACAGTGCTCATTGGTGTTTTGTAACCTATGCCTAGAAAGGTGGGAAGCAGTTGTAACTCTGCTTACACATCTGCTCTTTGCTTAAAGCAGCTTGGGTCCTGCACCCAGAAAACTCTCACATATTTGGATTAAGCAGAAAAATAAGCAGTGAAACTTCAAAAGGCTGGACATAGAATGATCCTGCCTTTCATGTTAAAGAAAGGGGTCTTTCACCACTGCAGCAATTTAGTTTGCCCGTTTTGCACCGACACCATTCCCAAAGCTTCTCTGAGGTTTAACTCTGGGAACAGTTATTTATTCAGCAGTGTCATGTAATAACATCCCCCTGGAGATCTCTTTATCCAGTCAGTGAAAATTCTTGGTGGAAAAGGTAGTTAAGTCTCACCTCACTGTGTCATCCCAGTGAAACTTCTTTCTGGGTCCAACAACCCTCTTTCCAGGTTTCTCATCATCATCTTCCTCTGATCCATTTTTATCTCGTTCATCTTCTGCTTGCAACCTAGTTAGAACAATTGGGGTGGGTTTTTTTTTTTTTTTACAGGTATACTACACAGAAAGTATTTCATTGAAAAAGGAGTGTCATCTTAGGTGTTAGGAAAAAAATACCCACAAAGGACCTGTCTTCAGATTCTTGTTATACTTCCTGAAAGGATAAACAGTTCATCTTCCTCTCCCCAACACTTTATGGTCCTCAGAGACAAATGAAAAGGACACACTATACAGATGCTATCATGGATGCTGCTGTAAGCTTCATCTAGTGCCTCTACTGGGAAATGGCAGGATGCTTATCAAATTATTAATGCTTCTCCACATCTAAAACTAGTTAACTATGATGGAAACAATTACAATGAACAAGGATGAAACATATCAAGAACCTGAACACGCCATAATCTTCCACCAATCCACCATTTTAGGAACCCTTCAGTAAGCCTTCAGATTATCATTTCTTTCTCTCAAGACTTATACAGTTAATGGAATTTCTCTCTGGAGTCAGATGATAACATCACTTACACAAAACTAAGTACTTTGCAGAGTTCAAAACAGAGACACCTATAAAGTGGAGCTGAGTGGTTTTCTGAGCTCAGGGAATGAACAACATGGATACAAGCTTCCAGCTGGACTCTAGAACAGGCATACACAGTCTCCAGAAATACCTACTTGGCATTCTTGGCCTGACTGCGAGCCTGACAGTCCTCCTGATACTTGCATAACTGTTCAGGCATGACATTGCTGACAGCCAGTTTCAGCTTTTGCAGTGGTTCTCTCAAGCGGTCATCCTGTGGAAAGAGAAACACCAGAGCAGTCCTGTTAGATTTAAATAAAGTGCATTTCAAATACTTGCACAAAAATTATTTCCCCCTCACTCCTCAGGTAATGCGCCCAGTACTATCTGTTAACTGCAACTGCCACATTCTAAATGGCACTTGAATCCTGTTAGGTGCAACAGCATTATAAAAATACACATACTTCTCACGTGTGTCTTGAGATCAGAAACAATTAAAGATAGTCACAAGGAAATGCATCATGAATATCCCAAAACGTTATGGCATGATCTAATTAAACAGTGCTTTTGAATCAGAATAGAAAAGGGAAGAAAGCTTGAGGGGGGCAAAAGTGAGATGAATTGACCTATCGGTACCTCAACACTTGCAAATAAATATCCAATTCATCAAGTCTCCAAAAACTCTATGGTATAAAAACACTCTAGGTAATGAACAAAATATAAATATGTATTATATTATTTAAGTACTAGATTGTTAGTGCATGTAATTTATTACCACAAAAGGTAAGGACTATATATTTAGAACTGTCTCCAAATATTAAACAGCTTCAAACATTAAAGTAATATATTATACCTGTCCCAACATGTTTTATTTGTCTTCCTACATCTTCTGACTTTACATTCTTAACTGCTTATTGAGAAGAACTAAAACACTAAGAACACTATACTCTTATGTCTTACTGCTTAGAAATAGCATATGAATCTGTTTGCCTCATTAGTAAGTTTCAAGATCTCTGCATTCATCTTCAGATCCTCTGCAAGATTTAGCCCTGTATTTTATCTCAAGAATCTGGTTAGGATACTTTAGATCACAGATACCTTTCTTATTCAACAGGAAAACATATCCTTTAAGAGAAAAGCAACTGAAAATGGCATACAAAGACCTCTCCACAAGGGAAATTTTGCACCAGCAGTACAGGGTGGGTCACCTATTATCCATCTACCCTTCATTTTTAATTGACACAGAAGAGAATGCAAAAGTAAAATTTTCCTTAGCCTGTCACAGCCGTGAATATTGTGGCTTTCTAGTTCTGCTCCTTGGATTTGTACTCTGTACTTAGCTTTCAGGATGAAAGCACTTCATTGTCAAATAAAGATCCTGAAACGCTTAAAATATTTGTTCTTAACATAGTCACAACAGCAGGTACGTGGAAAAAAGCTTTTAAACTGATCTAGCAACTGATCAAAATATTTCACTTTGTTTGAGACTGTGTGAGTATTGCTCTACTCTCCTGAATTCAGTCCTCAGCACTGCACAGAACTGACTTGTGCTGGAGCTAATCTCCCCATCATTACCTGGACATTGAGGTGTAACTTCTTCAGACGCTTTATCAATGTGTCCTTATTGCATGGCACAAAAGCCTCAAGGTGAGAGTACACTCCATTGCGGATGGCAGGATTTACCTCCTGCAACTGCAGCTCAATACTGAAAACCAAACAGGAGACAGTCAGTCAGTGAGGAACTCCAAGATGAAGATGACAACTGAACAAGGAAGCTTTGTAAGCATAGCATATCCCAGCTATGCATGCTAAAAATAGCAGCTTGGAACATTTTCAGGTAAGTTTTTTTAATAATAGGAGGAAGTCTTAATTGATGGCAAGAAACCATTCAGATACATACTTGTCCAGCAATGTTGAACACTCATTCAAATTTCATTTACACCCAACCATGGCACAAAGCCGATACGATTTTGACTGCTACAGTCTTGAGATTACTTTTTGTTTCTTAGAATATGAACACAGAACCTTCTACATTAAACACTTAGTTGAAGACTACAGAGACAAGAACCTGCCATTTTCTTTCATGAAAGTCGAAGGTGTTTTGAGTTACAAAAATGGGGACAGGAGCAAATAATGGCAGTTCTGAATTTTACACATGAAGTCAAGGACGAGGGCACTACAAAACACTTTACACTGGATAAAGACAGACAGTCATGACAGGAATTGTATTCATATATAAGTCTCTTTAGCTAAATAACTAGCTTAGACTGATCTACCTTCATTGACTTTTAAGGGCTTTGTTGGAACAACCTCAATAACACTTCCTCTTCTGTACTTTTCCTTTCAACCCCTTTCCAAAAAGGGAAGGTTGTACAGATAAGCACTTACTCCAGCAGAATATTATTCATGTCTTGTGTGAAAAACTTCTTCCTGCCTTCTTCATCAAACATCTTGGCAGCCTGAAAATACAACAAAAAAGAGTATCCAAGTTCACAGAGCATTTTATCCCAACAATCTTTGTATCTTCACTTTTAAATTCTTATTTTCCAAACAACACTATCTGGAAAAGAATAAACAAAACCAAACTATACTCAGTTGTTCAGAAAACTATGAAGACTGTTATTGTTATATTCAAATACAAGCACCTTGCTCTGGGGCAAACAATCATTCTCTTTAGAATCTGCCTGAATCACTGATGCTAACACATTCCTCTTTTCAATAACCAAGAAGAAAATGGTAGACATGTTTTACTATCTCACCACCAACAATATTCTACGATCACTATGAGCTTTAAACAGAAGAGAATTGCTTGACAAGCCAAGCAGGCAAGAGCATTAACACATTTCTACTCTCCATCTTTTTCTGCCTGTTATGTGCCTCACCCAGTTACAACTTCCCAGTCTTCTTAGATCCATCTCAAACCTTCACGTCAATTTCTACAAAGGGATTATGTATACTAGAGGAATACTTCATCCCTCTTTTCTGGCTCTGTCCAGCATTCTTGCCATCTTTAGACTGTATCTCTCTATATTTTTGTCAGGTCTCTTCCTGAGCCTGTTTGTGGGGGGAGGGGTAAAAAAAGACCTTATTCATATACATGTTCCCTTTTATTAGAAGTTTTTACTGATCTCACAGGAATTCCTGTGCAAAATACTTTTATCTTTGTTCTTATCACCTGGATTCTTATTTTCACAAATGATGACAGCTTACAGGAGAAAGCCAATTCCCTGCACCATGCTACAAAAATCACTGAAAACTTCTCTCCAGTGTTCATGTACTATGCAGATTTATAGAACAAAAAAAAAAGCCCCACTTTGCAAAGCTTATTGTCATCTTACATGTTCGCATCAGGGCCAGACAGTGAATATCTAGAGGAAATTATATGCATGCTCTCTGGAAAATGATATGCATGTAGCAAGGTAGGCATTACTGGTGTTGTTATAGTGACTGACAAATTGAGGCAGCCGAGAGGCTCAACATTCAAATAATTAAAAATCTTCAATTCTGTCTTTTAAAAGCAAATTTTGTGACTTGTGACAACATAGCTAAAAACTACAAGTAAATGCAAGTCTTAACTTGATAAAATTAATTTCTTACTGTTACATACTTACTGTTCCTGCTCGTTGTAACTGACCCATTTAAGTCTGAGAAAACTATTTTCTAGAACTGTGAACTTTACACTGCACAGGAAAACAGTGTGATACCCTGTGCTGGTTTGGGCTGAAGCAGAGTTCACTTTCTTCACAGTGGCTAGTATGGAGCTATGGTTAGGATTTGTGCAGAGCAATAACAAAAACATCTCTGCATTATCAACCCTGTGCTAAAACAATTAGAAAGGTTATAGACGTTTACAAGTGATAGGATAGCAAAACCAAGTGTGAAAGTCTTAAATCCAGTATGTTTAAGCATAATTAACACAAGGATTAGCATAATCTGGTTTATATAAAGTGGAAGGAAAGATATGCTTTGGCATTTCATTTCCAGGTAGACCTTAAAAGGCAATTCCAGCATTCCAATATCATACTGGATAGCAATGCTGGCTGTGAAAGAGCCGCTTTGGCAGATTTAAAACTTCATTGCTACTACTGAACTGTGGTTGAGGTTTTTTTTTTCCCACAGATTATCTTGACAGTTACCTTCAAAATAGGAAAAAAAACCCCTTTTATTTACTTTCCTGCTTGAGTACAATATTGCCTTCTGTCACACTAGTTCAGAATTGCTCACTTAGGGTCCTAGAACATATTCATCTACAAAAGGAAGTCGGGAAGGTTTTATTGTATTTAATCAGTGGCTTTCTAATTTATTTTTTTACAAAAATCTCAATATATCATACTCCATTCATAGAACAAAGGCTTTGTCCTTCAGCTTTATAAATGTCTTAGCTTTCTTTGCTAAACTACACTAAAGCTGTGAGCCTGGTAAATATGTGACAAGACCCATTTATTTTCAGTGCTTTTTAGAAGATGTTTGATTGCAATTTGCAGGAAGCATGGAAGTTGCAATCTAAGTCAACAGACAGTCTAGTTTTCCCCCAAAGTGTAAGGGTAGACTTGCTCTGCTCATTCAGCAACATTCCAGGAGACCCTGCCAAAAGCTGAAGACAGAAGAGTTGCCACCTGGTCAAGTGGAAGGTGCCCCTGCCCATGTCACACGGGTTGAACTACATGGTATTTAAAAGCCCTTCCAACCCCCAGCCCAAACCTATTAATTTGCTAATTTATAGCAACATTAACCAGAATATTCAAAACTACACAGAATCTTTCACTTTAGTAAATATTAATCCCTTGGCTGTATTTAGCTTCATAGGTTTAAAAAATAAGAAAACTACAAGACATTTAAATATAGTTATAAACATTATGTTTTATCATTACTCTATCCTGCAGCAAAGGAAGCTCTGCCAACTGTTAAAATTATTTCCTTTTTTCCCCTCAAAAAAGGTAGGAACTTGAACTGCTTTTTCAAAACTCAACACTGAGTAAGGAAAACTGCACTTCATTCTAAGTGAGGAAAATCTTTAATATCATAATCTGGACAATCAGACAAAAAATTTATTCTCATCTTAAGATAACATCCACAACTGAAACAATGAGTATTTAATACCTTAACAGATCTGATCCCTTTCAACAAGCTATTAGGATATTTCTAACTCGCTCATTTAATACCTTTCATTACCATTTTTGGCTAGTTTGCACACCATTCAAACCTTCCAAAGAAGTTCAGTTTTGTAGCTGGTTGGTTTTTGCAGTTGGGTGGTGGCATCTGGTTCTGGTTTTGGGGCTTTTTTTTGTTTGTTTGTGGGTTGTTTTTGTTTGTTTGCTTTTAAACTGGCAAGTCAACATTTATGTTACAAAGCCAAAAATTCAACACATGGACTTGTAAACTGCAGTCATATTGCAGGCTTACTCCTCCAAAGGTAGAAAACACTCATTCATTTCACCAACTCCTAAAGTTAAAGTTAACACTGGTATTTCCATTATGGAGAAAACCCAAACAAACATTACAAGTTATTGTACACAGAAGACTTGTTTCCACTGTGAGACAAACACTGCTTGAACGGTTAACCTGCACCATCTCTGTGCCTGTATTCATCTGAGTATAAATGCAGCCATTAAGACTGACATTGGAGTTTCAGCCAGTAATTCCAGTATGACACCTAAGTCCCTAATTGTTCTTGCTGTTTCTTCCAGATTCCTGAGTGCAACCCATTACCAGTGAATTCATACTTACTGTTCGAAGGTCTCCAATGCGCTTTTCAAGTAGCACAGGCAGACCCTCTGGGAGGGCAGGCACCTGCTTGGGTGTCATGACCTGAGAGGTGTAGGTTGCCTGAGTGACATTTCCATTTTCTCCTGACAGCTCAGATACTGGGCTGCCATCAGAAGTGCCATCAAGCAACTTGTCAAAGTCAATGTCTCCCAGCATCTCCAGGGCACTTTCAGCTTCTTGCAGGAGCTCAGGTTCATTTGTGCTACCAAAAATGGAGAGGACAGGATCACTGATCCTAAGATTCAAGTCAGAGATATCATTTCCTGCACTGAGAGAAGAGGAAGGAATTTTACTAGGGGTAGAGGTTGCAACAGTCACTGGAGGTTTTGGACTAGATTCCTTCTTCCTCATGGCTTCCTTCTCCTTTTGAAATTTACGGATCATGGCAGCCAGAGAGAGCGAGTCTTTATACAATTTCTTTTTCTTCTTCTCAGACTTGTGTGAATTTAAGGCCATTACTCTGTAGAGGAAAGAAATCTTTCATTAACATGTATGGGACTTTTGAGGCCTTAGTAACCTTCACAAAAAAAATGGAAGTTTAGTACAATTTAAAAATTACCATGGGGAAGAAGCAACTACTTTGTGCTTTGTGCTCTATGTTCAGACTATTCTATCAGTTATCATAAACCTTTACCACTCACATGATTTCATGCTCTCCAACTGATTTTTTTTGCTAAGTTTTATACGCATTAAGGCAGAGGTTATTTCATTGGGCCTTCTCAATTTAATTATGGAGAAGTTGGCACAGTTGTGTGCTGGTTTGAGCTGAAGTAGAGTTAACTCTCTTCACAGTGGCTAGTATGGGGCTATGTTTAGGATTTGTGCAGGGCACAGGGTTGATAATGTAGAGATGTTTTTGTTGTTGCTCAGCAGAGCTTACACAGGGCCAAGGCCTTTGCTGCTTCCCGTACAGCCTCGCTGGCACAGAAGTTGGGGATGCATGGGAGATTGGGAGGAGACACAGCTGGGACAGGTGACCCAAACTGACCAAAGGGATATTCCATACCATATGACATCATGCTCAGTATATAAGGTGGGAGGAAGAAGGAGGAAGGGGGGACATCTGGAGTGATGGTGTTTGTCTTCCCAAGGAACAATTACGCGTGATGGGGCCCTGCTCTCCTGGAGGTGCTGAACACCTCCTGCCCATGGGAAGCAGTGAATTAATTCCTTGTTTTGCTTTGCCTGTGTGTGTGGCTTTTGCTTGCTCTATTAAACTGACTTTGCCTCAACCCATGAGCTTTTCTAGCTTCTACCCTTCTGATTCTCTCCCCCATCCCACTGGTGGGGGCGTGTGTGAGCGGCTGCCTGGGGCTTGGCTGCTGTCTGGGGTTAAACCATGACAAGTTGTTAAAACTCATGGCTGATTTATGCTACTACAATACACTTGCCTCTCAAGACTCCCAAATGGTGACAGGTTGCTTTAAGTTTAGGCACACTGTATACATTAAAAACACTTCTCTTCATTGCTAAGAATTTCTACATGCAGGCTCAACATCTGTATGCTACTTAAACTGAGAATTTTCCATCAATTCATCACCTTGATAAAAAGTAAGATCACTAAATTTTCAATACCAATGTGAATATTCATAGTAAGACAACTTTCGCTCCAAGACAGGTTTCCGGAAGCCAATTAAAAACCCCACCACCTTAATCCTTCTGTGCTGGCCTCAGAACTCAGGAAAGCAAAGTTAGTAAGAATTATGTGGAATAATTAAGCTATATTTATAGTTTTCCAGATTAGAAACTAATGGGTAGGAATAAAATTATTTTTCATTAGAAGATGCAATTCTTAGTGCTATCTAAGATGTTGGGTAGAACAATGATGGATAATGCCATTCATAATACCCAAAATTTCTCTTCTGTGACTTTTCTTTCCTTATTATTCCTTATTCAAAATTTCAGGGGACAAAACAATTAGCTTGTAGGACTGACTTACACAAAACATCTTATACACACGTTCTGAAACAAAATCTATTAGTTATTAATAACAGTTTAAAAATCCAGTATTTCCAAGAGCTGTGATAATCTTGCTACGGCACAACCTTGAAACCAAACTTCACATATCATTCAAGGGTTCATATGAAGAAAGAAACCTACCCCAACTGTTTAGGAACTTTCATTTTCCGAGGCTTCTTCTCCTTTTCTGTCCCTTCATCTTTCCTCTTGCGCTTCTTCATCGCATGATCTTCACTTTCTTTTAACTTTGCTATCTAGAAAAGAGATCAAATAAATGATTCTTCCACCCTAAAGAAGTTTTACAGTGAAAAACATTGTTTTCTTTACACTTTCCAATCCAGAGTCAGGAATAACACCTCAATGTGTGTAAAGGCAAACAATACCACTGGATTCCCAGCAGCAATAGCAGTTACTGACAAATTAATTATTTTTAAACAGTTACTGAATTTAGAGTTTCCAATAAGCAAAATACTTTAAGGTACATACATACTCATCCCCAGCCAGTATGAGCAATGGCCACCTAAGAAGACAGAATCCCCCATACCTTTGGCTACCACAGCTTCACTGCTGACTATGGAGTTACACAGTATGGAATATCTTTTCTGGCCAATACAGACCAGCTGTCTCCTCTCCCAGATTCTTGATGATCCTTAGATTACCTGACGGTGCAGGGTAGGGAGAACGGAAGCCTTCACACTGTGCAAACATTAGCCAGCAACAGCCAAAACTCTGGTGTAGTTACCAACACTATTTTAGTCACAAATCCAAACCATAGCACCATAAGGGCTGCTATGAACAGAGTCAGCTGCATGCCAGTCAGACTCAATACAAGAACCTTACTTATGTTAAATTAAACAAAATTATAGAGCAGGAAAGGACATCAGAAAGCAGTAAGTTCTTGGAACGGCATGGAACCAGTGATTGCCATACACAATTATGTTTACATTGATTGTAAGTTGTCAAAGTTTATAGAATAGCATGCTGTCTGGGCAAGATTGTATATGTAGCTTTTAATATACCTATCCTTATGCACTGAGCTTGTTTCCACAGATATTTTGGTTTAAGTGCTATTCTGAAATCATACAAGTAGTATTGCAAAAATTAAGTTCTCATCTCATACAACAAAATTCTTGTAAAATTACAGAATCATCTGTCATTTCACAATGGGTGGGCACAACTGGTTAGCTTGCCTAAAGGTGGTTAGTCTTACAAGACTGGACAGCCTGTGGATATCCTGAGTTATCTACTGAGTACATGAGCCAAAAAACAGTAGAATAAAACAGTACCATGCATCATTCTGATTGCAGTCTCTTCATCTGAGCCATTCTAATCATATCAAGTATTTCTAATGTCCTCCTAGCTATCAGTCCTGTACAAAAGCCTAATTGAGATTACTCACTTTTGGTGGCCTATGCTTTTTGTCTTCTGCAAAGTCTTCATCCTCTGATTCCGATGCCTGGCGGAACTGTAGTGTACCAGTGTTGATATAAAACCCTCCATATTTGGTTGTCAGGGATGCAGGAACCAATTCATCATACTGGGCAGGAAAAAGATGACAAACTTATCAGCATTTCTTAATAAAATTCAGCAGGCCCTATCCATGAAAAATTATATACCAACTCACAGCACAGCTTGCTAGAATGGAAACAGGATAATGCTATTGAAAACTTACTGGCCAAGGCATAAAATAAAACATAAATACCACAGAGTAACCTTTCAACTTTTAAAACAATGCCCTTTTTCTTGTAAGACATGACAGGATTACAGCATTAAAACCACTGCTTTCTGAAGGAAATGAGGACAGGCACAGATGCGTTCCCCCCAACCTGTGAAGAAAAAAAGCCTAAAAACTTTTAGCCTCCCCCCTTCCAAATTCTTTTGTTACAGCATGTTACATTATGCTAAATGTAAAATCTCAAGGAGCAATGAAAAAGCCCCAGCCTATGAGTAACCTCACTTGATGGTTCACTGGTTGATTTTGCCCAGAAAGTAGGCAGGCACATAATGAACTATTTGTTTTCATCTACAGCAGCCTTACAGGCAAACCAGCAACATCATTGGTTGAGTTTTGTTAAAAAACCAAACAAAACCAAAAACCGACCAAAAAGAAACAAAACAAAAAAATCCCAAACCCCACAAACCCAAACCTACCTCTACCAGTTCAAAATTTAAAGCTTAATGTTCCTATTGAATACCCTTCAATTTTATGAGACAATGTGCAATTCAAATTACCTTCTACTAGTCATGTACTTTTATCACAGGCCCTTTAAGTTACCTGTACGTGATAGTTACTTCTAGAATGCATTTCTTCCAGATCTCCAAAAAGGATGTCAGCCCACAGAATCACCATATTGCAGTGAAAGAATCCTGATCTCTATCAGAATTTTACATCACTGGGTATTACAACCAGGAAAGCGGACTGAAAATAGCAGGGATCTTATAGTAATTTAAGCATAAAAAAATCTTCCCTGATTATATGCTGTGTTTTATTAAGACTGCCACACATTTCATTAATACCAATCACTGCAGTGCATTTCATGTTCAGAAGTTCCCATATGTGCTGCATTTAACACCAACTCTAACCACAGTGCCCTGCTCAAAAACCTGTTTCTCTTGAGAAATTCTGAAATTTTCTTTTGTTAAAAATGCTATCCCAGACATGGCAAGCTTAGCCACAGTATCTGTTAACTTATTTCCAATTTTAGGTGTTTAATATGATATTGTCTCTCACACAGACACCACAATGCCAGGACTTGTTTCACTGATAGTCAGACACATTCGCACTGTTTAAACAGTTTTAAAACCACAAGAGTTTTTTCAAACTCTTATAACCTTTATCTTGAAAAGTACTTAGTATTTATGAAGAAATTTCCAAGTTAGAATTACAAAGCTGTATCTCAAAAATATTGAAATCAAAGACAAAAAGTGGTCAATGCTAAGTATAGTGGCTGACAAGGTTAATTCTGTTATTCCAGGAACAGTAGGCCCCTCAGAATGACATTCTCCCTGCAAAGGTTTTACAGAAAATTGTTTATGTCTAGGAAACATCTTGTTAACAGCAAATTCTCAAACAGACTGGGAGGATACACAGGTTTGTTCTAGCTCTATGCATAAATATCAACAAGGCAAGCCATGAAGAGTTTGCAAGAGAACTGAGGGAGGGCTGTCTTGACAATGCTGTTATCACCACACAGCAGGACAATGTCCTGAACTAACCTGGTCTTAGTATTTAAATACTGAAAATTGTAAGATGGTTCACTCAATATGCAATAAATATAATTCTGGAAGCTATAATCTGTGGAAACACAAAACCACAAGGCTTCAAACACATACCTGCCAACAAAGACAAGGAGGAAGCATTTACAGGACACAGAAATTGTTACAGAAGTACACAAAGAAAGACACAGTAAGAGTGTGATGACTAAGAATCAATTTCTGCCCTTGTTCTAACACAAAGGGTAGGATTTTGACACACCTCAGAGGAATGCACTCTGGCAGAGGAAAAAGTTGTTTCTGAGTTACAGGTGTAAGCAGTAAATGTTTGGTAGCATAGCCAAGCGATTAAAAACTGAGATACTCCAGAAGGAAACTGTGTGATTGTTATTTTCAAGTTTGAAGTAGCAGGTCTTCCACTGCATGTCTCTGAAGATGAAATTCAACAGGCTAAATAAATTAGTAGGCAGTATTAGCTGTCACAGCATGAACAGAAGACTTGCTATCACCAACATGAGAGGAACACACACGGTGCAAAGTGGAGTGTCAGCTACCAGCACATCCCACTTCCCCCTCCACACCATACAAAGTATACTGAAGATAAAATGGTTTCAGAACCAAGAGGTCTGGGTTACCAAAAGCATTTAGACAGGAAGAGTTATCCAGAAGAGTAAAACAGTAAATCTGTGCTTCAACAAAGAAGCTGGTAGAAGAACCTGAACTCGAGACCTATGTGTGGATTTCATCTAAGTAGCTAGAAATTTCCATGAGTCATCACCTTTTGTCTTCCCAGTATGAAAGGCTTAACAAGCAGCACAGAAAGGCAGAAGAGGAAAGGAAAGGTGGTGAGAGGATTTATGAAATACCTTAAGACTAGCGCAAGAAAGCAGGAGGATCTATTAATTAGACAAGAAGAAAGCAATGTGGCTTAGTTGTGGACCTGTCATTCATTTCACGAGACCAGGAAGATCATGCAAAGTAAACCTGAGAGTGGAGGCTGGGTAAGAATTTCAGAAAAATCTGATGGAAAACCAGCTGATGGAAAATTGTTATTCACAGTGCTTCATAGAGAGAACAGGCATTTCCCTTTGGAGCTGACAGGGTGTGAACTGAACTGGTGAGGCTGGGGCAGGACGGGATCAAAACTGAACACCACGCTAGCTGCCAAGTTTGAAGGAGAAAACTCACTGTCAAAGCTGGGACCATTATCATAAGAAGTAAGGAACAAGCAACGGGAAACAGCAAAGACTCAGCTACAAAGCAGCCAAGGAAGGCCCGGGCTGCACACAGGTAAAGATTAGACAGTCTACAAATGAGGAAGCCACGAATCACAGCAAATTGTGATCGACATGCTGTGTGGCACAGATTCATAGCAACAAGGCAACTTAGGAAGGCAGAATTCATTCAACAGAGATTAAATGTATCCCATAACACGCAACAGGCAAATAAGATCAGCAAGATGTGGATGTGTAACTTAGCAGTTGAGGTTTCAACAGCTTCTGCTTAGGACTATGAATTTCATCAGACTTTCAAAGACTTTTTCGACATTCTCCTTAACGCTTGAGCGAAACTTTTTTTCTTACCACAATCTGTTTTCTCCTTCAGCCTCCTAAGCAGTGTATAACTCATAACTCATGGTTTCATTTTATTTTCAACTTAGGTAGAACAGGGGCCTGCAGACCACAACGTCCCTAGTGCCCCCTCCTCCTTTGAGCTTACTCTTTTCTAATGCCTTAGCTGAACAGAAAACATGAGTATGTTTGTACAAGGTATTGGCAACAGCTAGATTAAACTTCATGTTCAAGTGCCTTCGGGACTCTCAGTTAAAGGGAGCACAGCTCTTCCCATTTCTGATGGATGGGTTCCAAGACTTTTGCTTTGCACCAGCTTTTTCTGTGTATGAAATTGCAGAGATTATCTTATTAATGAAAATAAGTTTAAAGCCCTTTACAATGTTCTGTTCTTCTTTATACATTCCAAGACTGTAAATCAAAAAAAACTCAGACCTACAAACAGATATGACTTGATGTATGACTGACTCCTGTGAACACAGATTTGTCCTATGAAAGATTATGGAATTATTCTGCAGGTAGCAAAATGAAATAAATGATATATCATCCGACCATGTAAAAGCAGGTCCACATGCAAATTATTCTCAATTATTGTCCTTGAGCTACATTATTATGCTTCTAGAGACATTAATTAAAACTACAAAAGACAATTTAGTTTTTTTAAAAAATAAGTTAACTGGTTTTAACTTCATTATTATACTAAACACAGTGAAATTTTAGGGATTATACCAATGAAGTTCTGAAATCCAGACACCAGTATCTCATATTAATTGTCTACTCCTGTGTTCAGATATTTTAACCATGATCCTCAGATACTTTGAACGTGAACCTCCTCATTCATCTTCTTTCCATACAACAACCTACAAAACTACACATGTCAAAAGGTTTTTTTAACATGTCTGTACTAACACCTGGAAATGAGGCTTTGTGCAAATGTGGCCAAGTGTTTTAACAAATGTAGCCTGTTATTATTTATTATGAAACTGGTAATACTTAGAGATAAGATAAACAAGGATCATTGTTGTTCCTTGTTCAGTTTATTTTTGAAGTAGCTCTAACCCGCTTGGGGTGGGGGAGCTGCTCAGTTTTGCTCATTACTAGCCCACTGAATAAATTCAAGCTACTGAAGTGATTCTGAATACAGTTTCTTCAGTCAAATGGACTGAATATCCACACAGTTCACTACACACTTCAAGATACTTCAAACATACATAGCTGATTGATCTTGATGCTTCTTAAAGGCACAGAACTGAAACACAATTTTGCTGTCCTTTAAGAGTAAGTTCTCCAACAAAACCGCAGAACCACCACTCCAAAACACAGCATAATGGAACATACAGTGAAATCCTGACAAAGGTTAAGGGGGAACAATACATTGCTTTTCTAATCCAAGATGACACCAAGAGCACAAAGAGCTTTCCCATGGTAAAGGTTCCTCCTCCAAAATCCATAGCAAGGAATGTTTAGTTTGTTTGGTTTTTAAACCCGGGGCAAAGGACAACTGGCAAAGCACAACAGAAAAAAAAAGCAGAACAGATTATTAAAGATGTAATACTTGGCTCAGGGTAGTCTAAAGCAGAATAGGTTAGTCTCCCAGGTGAATCCTAGTTTAACAGCCAGGATATAGTAATCTGTCAGCTTAACAGAGCACCTTGAGACAAGTACATATCTATTGACCTGCTTTGTTCTCATCACTACCACCACCTTTTGTACCCTTCCACCAGTCACCAGAGTAAGGCTATTAGCTTAAGTG